CGTTATGATCTACAGACACCTATGCCAGATGCCGGTGCTGTGCTCTCGTCTTCCCAGCCTCCAGAGCCACGAGCTAAGTGCACTGCTGTTCTTTCTCAATTACTCAGTCTCTGCTCTTCTGTTATACCCCGAAAGTGGACTAGAAGGGTTTGTATCCTGGACTTACAGAGAGTGACAGCCAATGTGCACATGAGCAGGACTAGAAAGGACTAGAAAGCATTTCTCACTTAAGAAAAAGAAATGCTAAGAGAGGAGATATGGATGGTGTCCCTTTCGGGGAGGAGAAATAGGGGAAGTGCACCAGGAACCCAGCAGCCAGCGCTGGGAAGCCTGGGGAGAACTTTGGTCCACCTGGGGACCAGCACTGGACGCCTTGCTCCTTCCTCCAGGGCAGCCTGCTCAGGGGACCAAGCCACGGGAGCCAAGGGTTCTAGGAGAGGCACCTCACCCTCAGTAGGGTGGAGCAGCAGCAGGACACAGGACAGGTGCAGCAGCGCAATGCGAGCAGGAAAAGGGGAAAGATCACTTGCCTTTTTGGTCATTTGGGGGCTGTCGGTCAGAGCTCTTGCTAGAAAAAGAAGCTAACGTGAAATTCCAGGAGGGCGTGTGATGCCGGAGGGGACTGGCAGTGGAGTTGAGAAGGAAGAAACTAGTAGAGTGGTTGGCACTGAAGCCAGGAAAATCCACGTTCAGTTGCAGGGCTTCATGTTCTCTTGCACTTCTTTGTCTTAGCAAAGATGCTTGTGCGGATGCTCGCGTGATCCTAGGGTCTGTGATTGTGACCGGCAAGGCGAAGGACCATGGCCTCTTCCTGTCATGTCGTCATCTCAACTGCAGGCCAGGCTGGCAAGAAGCAAGGGAGCCCTCTGTGAGTCTTTCCTCATGTGGGCAACTTCCCTCGTCTTCTGTGTGTCTGCTCCACAGTGGGATCGATGGCCTCTCTGGGTGACCTCCTCCCTCCTGCACTCATGGGTTCCCAGAGCTCCTGTAAGTGCTGCACGACAGTGTCACTTAGGAGGACAAGTCACAGTCTGCTTTGCTCACCTCCGAGAGAAGCCAAGCCCCAGGCGATCCCCACGTCGTCCTCCATGTTCCCCTGAGCAGGGCTGCCCGGCACCTCACCAGCTCTAACCTTCAAGTTCCAGTCTCAGCCCAAACCCAACCCCATCCAGAGGCCTCCAGTGGTGCACCTAAATGAATTAGAATGTTGAAGGGTACCTGCAGTTAGGCGGTCTCTGAGGACACCTGAGGTTTCCTCTGGCTCCTCCGAGACAGAGAAATATAAGAACACCAAAGGAACGTGCACCGTGTTGGATGTGTGGGGCACCAGGAGTCAGGACCAAGCCTCCTACTAATTTGGGGGGTCACTTTGGACAAGTCCCCTGGTCTCCCTTGGGCTTCGACTTCTTCATCTATAGAAGTGGTGAACTACATAATCGCCAAAGTCCCAGTTTCCAACACAGAGGCTGAGATTTTACATGCAGAGCAGCAGGACAACAGGCAGCCTTCAAAGAGGCCAGTCTCCCTAATCTCTCAAGAACCTCACTGGAGGCCAGAATGACGGCGGGTGCTTATGTGGCATCCTTTCCCCACAGCGGGTGCCTTGCATCTGTGTGTGGACAGGCCTTTGGACAGGAGGGTCCTAAGTTACAAGCCCATTCCTTGACTGGTGACACGCAGCTGCCTCCAGGAGCACCTTGCAGAGGTGGCCTCGGCAGGAAGCTCTGAGCCTGAGGACATTTTCAAATTGGCAGGCTACAGCAGACATTCAAGGGACAAGAGGCAGAAGCATCCTCTCTGGCCCAGCCCTTGCGGTGACACCTGGAACTCATGCCTGCCCACACACCCATGCTGATGGGTGTTTGCTGGTCCCCAGCTGGGCCACAGTGCATGCCAGTCTTTCCTCCCCCTCAGGGACCTGCTCCCACAGAGCTCATGCAAGTGTTCCTCCTCCAGACTCAGCCCCAGCTGCCCTGGCTTATACAGCACAGGCTTGGAGCCCGGCTGCCTATGGCCTTGTGCATGGTGCCCGACCTCTGTGGGTCTTGGCATCAACAGACACAGAATGGGAATAATCAAAAGTGTCCACTTCAGGAGCCAGCATGGGGCTTCCATGGGTTAATCAGTTCATATGAGCTTAAACTAAACTCCTGTTCTGAGCTCCAAATCTTAACTGATGCTGTAGGCACAGCCACCACTACCACCACCGTCCTGCAGGCTACACCCTCCATGGTCCTCGTGCTCAGAGCCCCTCCCCACCCACCCCCAGGCTCTCTCAGCCCTTCTCTCTTGGCATTTATGGTTTCAACGCCCAACCTTCTCCTCTGAGTGAGCTCCTACTCATCCATCAAGACCCAGAATGAACATCACCTCCTCTTTGAGGTCCCCAGAAACTTATCTTCTCCTCTGTGCTCCCAAAGAACCAATGCCTTAGCTCCAAAGTCTAAAAGGAAGGGCACCAAACTCTAAACTCCTGAAGGGCAGGTGACTGTGGAAACACCTTTGGAACACATCTGGCCCATGCTAGGATGAAGAGGGTGGTCACGGAGCCCCATGAGGAGGAGGACTCGGCCCTCCAGCACTTGGAGGGGCCAGCCAGTCCTTTAGCCCGGCCCACCAAAGTTCACACAGAAGCAGCAGAAAGGCCTGAGGTAAGGAGAGGTGATACAACTGTCAAGTCCCATCCCTACCCGGCCCACTCTGGGTAGAAGCCCAGTTAGAAGGCCTTCCGCCAGTGTGCCCACTGCTCCGTGTCCTGACTCCCTTGGTCCCCATCCTCTTATCCTTCAACAACCCCGGCACCTGTGTGTTCCCTTGTGCAGATCTGATTGCAGAGTTTTCTGTGTGACTGCTCCCACCACACACGGCCTAAATTCACACTCATGGGGCCCCTGGGCCCCTCCTTTGGGCCCTGCCGTTTGCTTCCCCCCAGCCCTACTACTGCTTGCAGGGCCACACCAGCCCAAGTCATGCTCTTTCTGCCTCAGGGCCTTTGAGCAGCCTACTCCCATCACTGCTCCTTCCAGCCTCCCATCGTTCCCTCGGCCTACGTGGAAGCTCTCTGGAGATGCTTCCCCGGGCCCTGCCTCAGTGGGCTTCCTCCCTGTTAGCCCGGGCTACACCACGTCCACATGGAGACTTCCCACGTCCAATAGTTTCTTGCTGTCTCCCAGAGAGGATGGAAGATTCACAAGGCTGGGGACCAGGTCCACGTGTCCCCCTGCTGCTCAGCACACCCTGGCACCTGGCTGGACACATCTTTGCAGAATAGCAGGCTGCCTCATGGATACAGCGTGTCAGCAGTGCTCTGTGGAGCCCTGGGTGTGGCCCACCCCACCACCCCACCACCCCACCGCCACACCCACTCCAGGAAGGTGCCATTGTTCCTACTTTACCAATGAGGAAGCGCAGTTAGGAAATTTACTTGCCCTGCATCATACAGTCCAAAGATGACAGGGCAGAAAATTGCACACAGTTCTGTCTGCCTTTTCTGCCACACGAGGCTACGCTCCAAACCCACCCAGAGCTCAGCACCGGCAAAGCCTCCATGGCACAGAACTCTAGCATATTATTATCATTATTATTATTTCACCAAAGTCTACATTTGTGGGGAGACTGCATACAAATGTATCTCACAGGCTGGATATTGTGTTGTTACCACAGTGGTTAGTGGAGAGATGACAAGGTGGAGAGAGAGGTTGGCACGGGGCAAGATGAATGGAGAGTCCGACTAGCAAAGCAGTCCAGGTGACATCAGTGATCTCTCTACAGCATTCACAGCACAGAGTGGGTGGGAGTCCTCGCAAAGTCCACCAAAGTGGGGCCAATTAACCACTGGCCTCACCGGTAACACCTGGTACCCATCAGAGGACAGAGCCGCACCAAAAGCATCAGCAGCCACAGCAGACACTGTGTAAGGACTGCTGGCACAGAAGACACGCTGGCCGGGAGGAGCAGGCCCCAGCAGGCCAGATGCCTCTGCCCCAGCTGTCTCTGCCCGATCACACACAGGCTCCTAAGTCTTTTGGCAACAGTCTTTTGGGATGAATCCTCTCAGCAGCTTTTGTTTGAATACTCCAAGGACAAGACATTCACTGCCTCCTAGACCTGCTTCCCCCTGCTGGATGGAATGTCTTCCCCCTGAACAGATAACTGATGTCTCCCTGGCGCTTGCACTACCCTTTGGCAAGATTTTCCTTCCCCATGACATCTCTGCAGATGCTGGGATCGTAGACCCCAAGTCTTCCTGGCTATCCCATCTGCCCCAGGAGTGGCCATTCCCGGCCCTTCTTGTCCTGCACCTCCGGGAGCTCTTGTCCCTCGCATATGCTCTGAGACCGGCCTTAACCTGCACGTCTCATCTCAGGAGAGCTTCAGCCAGACTGCTTAGAGGCCCCCTTGCTGTCTGCACTGTGCGGCTCCCTGGGGGTACCTGGGGTGGCGGGCAGGTGTATGCCACCCCTTCCCCACCTGGAGCTCCACCCCTGAAGTCTGACAAGCGGGGCCTCTGCCTGAGTTTGAAGCCAGAGCAGCACCCTATTGAACCCATGCCTGATGCGGAGCGTATTCTGCCTTAGAGTCACATGCCATCTCCAGGCAGAACTCTGCCCTTCCACCAGGAGAGGGGCAAACACCCGGCCCAGGACAGCGCCCGAGGAAAGGGGCTGCTCCACCGGATTGGGAAACACAGGGCTCTGTGCTCTGCTGGGATCCGGCTGGCTCTGCTGCTCCGGGAGCAGTGGAGGCCCTCTCTGCACTGCCCCGGGGTCAGGCTGTCTTGGGAAGGCTGAGCAGGCTCCCACAGGGGGTCGGGGAAGCAGTGCCCCTCAGGACCACCGTGTGGGCCGCATCGGCATTGCCCTGAGCTGGGCATCCCCGACC